GCAACAACCGTGTGCAACGCAGCGCCTGTGTACACCAGTGCTTGGGTACACTACAGCGCCGGTGTACATGTGTACACCGCAACCACCATGTGCAACACAGCGCCTGTGTACACGACAATATTTGCATGCACCGCAGCGCCTGTGCACGCCACAGCGCGTGTCTACACCACAGCATCCGCGTGCAACGCAGCGCTGGTGTACACCACAATGCCTGCGTGCATAGGACAGGTAGAAGGAGCATGTACGTGAAGATCTGCTGCGGACAACTAGACGCCACGCCAGGAACGTGCTCAGAATCGAATGCGACGTTCACTCCTCCCTCCCCCTCCACCTCCACCACCACCACCACCTCCTCCTCCTCCTCCTCCTCCTCCTCCTCCTCCTCCTCCTTCTCTTCCTCCTCCTCCTTCTCCTCCTCCTCCTCCTGAACCCCTGTCGTGCGGGTTGGCGCTGCAACGCACGTGCATCTCAGCGCGCACCGCAGAAGGGTCTATTGAATCGGTCCACTTGGTTCTCGGACGGCCAATTTAGCTGGAGCCTCCTGGGCGCACATGGGAGGAGTTAGGGTGATGCGGGCGGACTCGGGAGGACTCGTAGATTCCAGCGGCGCTCCGTTGTCCATAAGATTATGTTCTATTGTTTTCTGTGGAATCCACAAACGCTCCATTTTGTCAGAAGGATTCGTTCTAACATTCTATATACAACAGTGATGTTGTGTTGTGCACGGTTGCTGTGGTGCACACAGGCGCCGTGGTGTACACAGGCACTGCAATGCACGCAGCAGACATTGTGGTGCACACTGGTGCTGTGTTGCACACGGCTGATGTGGTGTACGCAAGCGCTGTGGTGTGCACAAAAGCCGTTGTGCCCGCAGGCACGGTGGCACAAACTGACGCTGTGTTGCACGCGGCTGCTGTGGTGTACATAGGCGGTGTGGTGTACACAGGCGCTGTGGTGCACGCAGGCACTGTGGTGTACACAGGCGTTGTGGTGCAAATCGCCACATACATGCTGGCGCTATCCGTCCTCCGTCAATCCCAAGCATTCCCAGACGCCGCCGGCGCGAAACGTGACGTCATCGACCCCCCCCTTAGATGATTGCCGTCATCGGCCCGGAATAAAAGACAGGCTTCAGCCGCGTCCGCGCGCACGACGACTATGAGCAACGAGCGACAAGCCACGAGCGACGACGACGACGACGACGACGACGACGGACCAGACTCCTATGCGGATTCCTACGCGGACACCTACGCGGATCCCACCCACAAGGCGTCCAGGAGGTCTTCCAGGAGGGCCCGACGAGGCCAACATCATTGATTCTTCTTCGGTTTTGGAAAGATTTTGGCATTTGCTTCTTCTCGGGATTCCGGCGGCTCAAGACGGCGCAAGAGGCCCCCAGATCGCCCAAGAGGCCTCCAAGATGGCCCCATGACGGCCCCAAAGGCTCCCAAGAGGGCCCCAAGAGGGCCCTCAAACGGCCCAAGAGGCCTCCAAGACGCCCAAGATGGCTTCCAAGAACACCTGATATGCCCCAAGAGGGCCCCAAGACGACCCAGACAGGCCCCCAAGACGGCTTCCGACGGCGTCAGACAAGCCAGGAACACCCTAAGGCGGCCAAATAGGCCCCCAAGAAGCCCCGAAGGCCACCAAAAAGCCTCCAAGAGGCCCCCAGGAAGCTCCCAGGAGGCCCCAGGAGTGCCCCAAGAGGCGCCCAAGAGGCCTCCTCCTCCTCCCCCTCCTCCTCCTCTCCTCCTCCCTCCTCCTCCTCCTCCTCCTCCTCCTCCTTCCTCACTCCCCTCAACCCTCCCTCCTCCTCCTCCTCCTCCTCCTCCTCCTCCGCCTCCTCCGTCCTCCTCCCCTCCCCTCCTCCTCCTCCTCCTACTCCCCTCCTCCTCTCCTCCTCCTCCTCTCCTCCTCCTCCTCCTCCTCCTCCTCCTCCTCCTCCTCCTCCTCCTCCTCCTCCTCCTCCTCCTCCTCCCTCCTCCTCCTCCTCCTACTCCCTGCCTCCCTCCTTCCCTTCTTGCTTGCTCTCCTACCCCTCCTCCTCCTCCTCCTCCTCCTTCCCCTCGCTCCTCCTGCCCGCCTCCCCCGCTCCCCCTCACCCTCCTCCTCCTCCTCCTCCTCCCTCTCCGCCTCCTCCCCATCCTCCTCCTCCTTCCTCCTCCCCCTCCTCCTCCTCCTCTCCTCCTCCTCCTCCTCCTCCTCCCCTCCTCCCTCCCTCCTCCTCCTCCTCTCCTCCTCCTACTCCTCCTCCTCCTCCTCCTCCTCCTCCTCCCTCCTCCTCCTCCTCCTCCTCTCTCCTCCCTCCTCCTCCTCTCCTCCTCCTCCTCCTCCTCCTCCTCCTCCTCCTCCTCATTTTGTCCTCATCCTCACCCTCCTCCTCTTTTTGCTCCCCCATGCGTTCCCCGAAATCTTTCAAAACCGACTCGGGGAACAACTGGCCCGATAGCTTGGCCAAGCTCTGGCCCAGCAGTCGGCCACAGAGGCGCGTCCAAAGGGGCAGGGGGCGGCGGTGATTCGCCGTAGGCGTCTTCGATCCGCCGCCCCCTGTCGATTCATCGCAGGGGTGCATGGCGTGCCAAATCCTGTCGCTTTTGGTTTTGGTTCTTTTGTCCCAAAAGAGAAGTCCCCCTGGGGCTTCGGCCCGTCCCGCCGGCCACCCGGAAAGGACCTCAATCGCACAAGTTGTCCTTCAAGACGGCTCAAGATGGCCTCCATGATGGCCACGTTGGCCCAAGATGGCCTCCAAGATGGCCTCCGATGGCCTCCAAGTCCGCCCAAGATGGTCCAAGACGGCCTCCAAGACGGCCCAAGAGAGTTCAAGACAGCCCAAGACGGCCCAATAGGCCCCCCAGAGGCCTCCAAGACGGCCCAAGAGGCCTCCAAGAGGTCCTCCAGGAGGGCCCGAAGAGGCCAAAATCATTGATTTTACTTTGGTTTTTGAAGGATGTTGGCATTCGCTTTTTCTCGGCTTTCCGACGACCCAAGACGGCCCAAGAGGCACCCAAGATCGCCCCCACAGCGCCCAAGAGGCCTCCAAGATGGCCTCAGGACTGCCCAAGAGGCGCCCAGGACGGCCCCAAGAGGGCACAAAGACGACCCAAGAGGCCTCCAAGATGCCCAAGATGGCCTCCAAGACGGCCCTGGAGCACCCCAAGAGGGCCCCAAGTCGGCTCAGAGAGGCCCCCCAAACGGCTTCCGACGGCGTCTGACGGGCCAGGGGCCCACCAAGACGGCCGAAGATGGCACTAAGATGGCCCAAGACGGCCCAAGAGGCCTCCAAGAGGGCCTCCAGGAAGGCCCGAAAAGGCCAAAATCATTGATTTCCCACAGGTTTTGGAAGGATCGTGGCATTTCTTCTCGGCCTTCCGACGGCCCGAGACAGCCCAAGTGCCCGCAAAGATCGCCCAAGAGGCCCAAGACCCCCAAGACGGCCCAAGAGGCCTCCAAGACGCTCAAGATGGCCTCCAAGACGGCCCAAGAGCCCTCCAAGACGTCCTCCAAGAAGGCCCGAAAGGGTCAAAATGGCCTCCAGGCGGCCAAGATGACCTTCAAGATGCCCACGTGTTCCCCGAAGGCTTTCCAAACCGATTCGGGGAACACATGGTCCGATAGCTTGGCAGGTCCGGCATCAACGTTCGGCCACATAGGCGCTTCCAGAAAGGCAGGGGGCGGCAGTGATTCGCCGAAGGCGTCTTCGATAACCACCATCATCACCATCCTGCTCGTCCTTCTACCCTCCACCTTCTCCAACTTCTCCTACCTCCTCCTCCTCCTCCTCCTCCTCCTCCTCCTCCTCCTCTTCCTCCTCCTCCTGCTCATCCTGCTCCTTCTGCTCCTCCGCCTTCTCCTCCTCCTCCTTCTCCTCCTTCCGCCGCCGCCGCCGACGGCGGCGACCACGGGCCCGCACGGGTCATCATCATTTTCAGCATCATCATGTTCATCATCATCATCATCATCATCATCATCATCATCATCATCATCATCATCATCATCATCATCATCATCATCATCATCATCATCATCATCATCATCGTCATCGTCATCGTCATCGTCATCGTCATCATCAGCATCAGCATCAGCATCATCATCAGCATCATCATCATCATCAGTATCATCAGCATCATCATCAGCAGCATCATCATCATGATCAGCATCAGCATCAGCATCATAATCCGCAGCATCATCATCACCATCAAAATCAGAATCAAAATAAGCATCATCACCATCAGCATCATGATCATCATCATCACCACCACAGCATCATCATCAAGATCATCAAAAGCAGCAGCAGCCGCAGCAGCAGCAGCGGCATCATCATCAGCAGCAGCATCATCATCGTAGTCCTCATCATCACCAGAATCAGCATCATCATCATCATCACAATCATCATCATCATCATCATCATCATCATCATCATCATCATCATCATCACCACCACCACCACCACCAACACCTCCAGGGCCACAGACAAGGGAGAGGGCGGCGTCGCAACAGTTTCAAATATCCGTATGGCCGAGGACCCAGGAATGGCGTTCTGGCACGGTTTTGGACTGCCAGGCCGCATCAATAACACTGATTCGCGGCCTGGAAGTCCCAGGAACGGTGTTCTGGGACGGTGAAGGACTGTCACGACGCACACATTCACGTTGACCCGCGGCGTTGAAGTTCCACGAACTGCGCGCTGGCAAGATTGAAGAACCTCATGCGGTGGTCTTCTAATGGGCCACTTCTCGCAACGGCAGCACGTCACTGTAGAAATCCATGAAGAGGGAACTTGGAGAGATGGTTGACTGCAACATCGCTGGTGCATAGTTTGGTTGGCACTGGTCCTTCTCCATCTCCTCAGACGACGACGACGACGATGACGACGACGACGACGACGGCGACGACGACGACGATGACGACATCCGCAACGCCGCCGCCGCCGCCGCCGCCGACGACGACGACGACGACGACGACGGCAACGAGCGCGTGGACCGCACACCGACGACGAGCTCCTGGAGGCCGCTGCGGCTGCCCCGTCGACCTCTCGTCGCGGCGGGGCTACGCTGGCAGCCAGGCTCTTCACCAGCACGCCGCGGTGCACCTGCGGGGGGCAGAGGGAGGAGCAAGGAGGAGGAAGGAGGGGTGGGAGGACGGAGGAGTAGGGAGGGAAGAGGTAAGAGAAGAACGGAGGAGGAGGAGGAGGAGGAAGAGAAGGAGGAGGAGGAGGAAACGAAGGAGGAGGAGGAGGAGGAGGAGGAGGAGGAGGAGGGAGGGGGGCGATGGAGGTACAGGAAAGGAAGAGATAAGAGAAGAGAGTAGGAGGAGGAGGAGGAGGAGGAGGAAGAGGAGGAGGAGGAGAAGGAGGCAGAGGAGGAGGAGGAGGACAGAAAGGAATGAGAGGAGAAGAAGGACGAGGAAAAACAGCACAGGCACATTGCCAGGAGGAGAAGAAGGATTCTTTTTTAGACGAAGGAGGAGAAGAAAAATTGTCAGGAGGAGAAGAAGGATGAGGTTGGATGAGGAAGGAGAAGGAGGAGGAGGAGGGGGAGGAGGAGGAGGAGGACGGCGGAGGATGAGGGAGGAGGCGAAAGACAAGGACGGAGGTGTTCGAAGACATGCCCTGGCTGCTAGAGGTTGTCGCAAGCTTCCCTACGATTTCGAAAAGCTCAGAAAATGTTCGGCTCTCTCTCTCGCTCTCTCGCTCTCGTTCTCGGGGGGGGCGGAAGTTTCCTGTTAATTCAATGTGTCTTCTGGACTTGCCGAAGGAAGGGGAGGGAAGAGTGAGAAGAAGAGAAGAGAAGGATGAGGAGGAGGAGGAACGGATACCATACTATAATATAATATATGACCGTATACGGTTATATAATATAAGGAAGTGTGATGCGCGATAGTATGATGCAATATAATTTGGGATTCACCAATGTGAGATGATACAAAATCAGGAAATATACTATGTGATACACTAGAAGGTGAAAACTATATCATATAACATACGATGATATAGGAAATGTTTGGTACTACAACATAAAATGAGATACCTACAACATGATATACTATGATATTATAAGGCAATATGAGCTAAGCTAACATCTGATAACATACGATGAGGTAATGTGAGGTAATGCATAAAGAATAATGCACGGTAAAGTAGTACAAGGCGAGATATGATTTTTTAATGGCATGAGACACGATAAGGTAAGGTATGATAATATAACACAATATAAGATGAGATAAAGTGTCAAATAATATTATGGTATAGGGTAAAGCAAGCGCCGGGAGGCGGACCAGCGTACAGCCACAGAAATGGGCTCCTGATGGGTGGCGCTAGGGTGCTGTTCCACTGACACCGTTGCCACATACGCCAACGACAGGACCACCTCCGCTGGAGCTCACTGGGGCGGCCTGCAACCTTCAAAAAGCGGCGCGAGAAACGTGAAAGGCGGGGACCCTCCCCCGGCGACGACGACGACGACGTAGTAAACGACGAGGGAAGATCAGAAGGATCAGGAGGAAGAGTGTGACGTAAGAGACGACGAGGAGAGATCAAATCAGGAGGAAGAGTGTGCCGCGGTGCACCTGCGACGCAGCACCAGCCCCACTGCGTTGTTCTACTCATGGTCCTCCTCTTCCTCCCTCCTCATCCTCCTCCTCATCCCTCTTCATCCTCCTCCTCCTCATCCTCCTCCTCCACCTCCACCTCCCCCTCCTCCTCATCCTCCTGCACTTCCTCCTCCTCCTCCACCTCCTCTTCAACGTCCTCCCCTCCCTCCTCCTCCTCCTCCTCCTCCTCCTCCTACACCTCCTCTTCAACGTCCTCCTCCTCCTCCTCCTCTTCCTCCTCCTCCGCCTCCTCCTCCGCATCTCCCTGCACCTGCTTCACCACCATCATCACCACCACCTTCACAACCACCACAACCACCACCAGCACCAACACCAGCAACAGCAACAGCACCAGCACCAGCAACAGCAACATCAACAACAACAACGACAACAACAACAGCAACAACAACATTAATAACAAACACAACAACATCAATAACAACAGTATCAGCAACAACGATAACAACAACATCGACAACCGCAACAACAACCACAACAATACCAACACCAACACCAACAACAACAACAACAGAAGCCGCAACAACAGCAGCAACACCAACAACAGCAATCACAACAACCATACTATTCAGGTTCCGGCTGCTCGATCTTACCTGCACGCGTGCCATTCAGCACGTATATCCCAAATCACGCGACACCCGCCCTCTTCGTCTTCGATCGTACCCCCTTGGGTGTATATCGTTGTTGCCTGCAAAGTGTATTGCACGCAGCTACTACGGCAGGGGAAGAAAAGACGGCTGGAAGAAAGGGACAAGGGGGAGGGAAGAGGATCGAGCACGAGAGAGAAGAGTAGCAGGAGGTGGGCTAGGAGCAGAAAACACGTGGCAGAACTAGACTGGCAGATCAGGCGGGTCGGGACGGCGGGCCTAGGCGGCCAGGTCGAGCAGGCGCGTTGCTAAAGCGTGGGTCCTGCATGAATCGCGAGTCTCGAGCGATAGCGCGATTCCCAAGTAAATCGTGAGACAGGTCAAAGCGAGAGCGTGATTCCTGAGTGCCGAGGGCGCGGCGTCTGAGTAAGGTGCGAGGGAGTCCCGAACGAGAGCGCGATTCCTGCACACATTGTGAGGACGTCCCGCGCGAAGGCGCGCTTTGGAAATAACCGGTGGGGAAGTAGCAGGCGGGAGGCGTTGTTGTTGTCACTCGGGGCTCGGGGCCCAGTTCCGAGACCCAGGACTTTCCATGAGAAAAAACCAGGTGCGAGCCCAGGGAAGGGCACTTCAATTAAAGAACTGCAGTGCGCCCTGGAGGGAGGATCAATAAAACATAGACTTCAGCAATAAGAGCTCAACAGCAACAACAACTACTACTACGCCTACTCCTACGACGATTATGAGTACCAGTACTAGTAATACCCTACGACTACGACTACTACTAAGAGTACTACGACGACTCTTATTATTACTACTACTACTACTACGATTACTACTACTACTACTACTACTACTACTACTGCTACTACTACGGCTACTACTACTACTACTACTACTACTACTACTACTACTACTACTACTACTACTAATACTACTACTACTACTACTACTACTTCTACTACTTCTACTACTAACTAATATATATACTCCTGATACACGGCTCTCTCCTGCTCTTATTAATACTACTACGACGGACTACTACTAGTACTAGTACCGACTACAACTACTACTAGACTTACCAATCAATACTACTACTACTACTACCACTCCGTCTCCTCCTCCTCCTACTACTACTACTCATACTACTACTACTACTACTACTACTACTACTACTACTACTACTACTACTACTACTACTACTACTACTACTACTACTACTACTACTACTACTACTACTTCTACTATTACTACTACTACGACTAGCACTACTACTACTACTACTACTACTACTACTACTACTACTACTACTACTACGACTACTACTACTACTACTACTACTACTACTACGACTACGACTACGACTACTACTACTACTACTACTACTACTACTACTACTACTACTACTACTACTACTACTTACTAGCTACTCACTGCTACTACTCACAAACCAATACGTACTACTGACTACTCTACATACGGCTTACTTACTTACTACTCACCACTACTACCTTTTTATGTTTTTTTCTTTACTACTACTTAATGAATACTACTCCACTAAATGATCAGCTGGTACTACGACCACTATTAATACTGAGACATACTACTACTACTACTACTACTACTACTACTACTACTACTTACGACTAGTACTACTACTGCTACTACTACTACTACTACTACTACTGTTATTAGTACAGCTGCTACTACTACTACTACTACGACTAACACGACTACTACAATGACTGCGACTACGACGAATGAAGAAAATCGTACGACGACGACTGGGACGACTACTACTACTACTACTACTACTACTCCTACTACTACTAGAACTACTACTACAACTACTACTACGACTGAAAACCTACGACGACAACTACTAGTAGTAGTAGTAGTACTACTACTACTACGACTACTACTACGACTACTACGACTACTACTGCTATCACTACTACTCTACTACTACTACTACTACTACTACTACTACTACTACTACTACAACTTAGAATCATATTACTACTACTACGACTACTGCTACTACTACTACTACTACTACTACTACGAGGACTACTAGTGAAACTAGTAGTCCTAGTAGTACTGGTAGTACGACGACGACTACTACTACTACTACTACTACTACTACTACTACTACTACGACGATTACTACGACTATTACGACTACTGCTACTACTACTACTACTACTACTACTACTACTACTACTACGACGGCGACTACTACCACTACTACTACCACCACTACTACTACTACTACTACTACTACTACTACTACTACTACGAGTACTACTACTGATACTACTACTACTACTACTACTACTACTACTACTACTCCGGCTACTACTACTACTACTACTACTACAACTATTACTACTACCTCACACTACTACGACTATTACTACTATACTACTACTCTATACGATACTACACTTACTAATACTACTACTACTACTTTACGATCCCCGACTACTATACTAATACAACTATTACTTACTACTACTACTACTACTACTACTAACTATTCGAATGCTGCGACTACTACTGCTACTACGGAACTACTACGACTACTACGACTAACTACTACTACTACTCTACACTACTTACTACTACCACTACCACTACCACTACACACTACCACTACTACTACTTACCTATACTACTACTACTACTTTTACTACTTGCTACTGATCTGAACTACTTAATACTACTACTACTACTATACTTAACTATACTACTTACGACTTACTACTACTACTACTACTACTTACAAACTACTACTACTATTCTTACTACTACTACTACTACTACTACTACTACCCACTACTACAACGACTAATACTACTTACTTAACTACCACTATACTGTTTACTAACTTACTAC